TTTTAAATTAATTAACTTTTTCGAGATATTTCGGAAATTTCAAAATCTGATTAAAAATGCATAAGATTTCAATTATAAACAATAAACCAAGCAAAACAGTGAAAACCAGAAGAGTCTAACAATTATAATTAACGAAATATCGATTTTTTTAAATTAATTGACATTTTCGAGATATTTCGGAAATTTCAAAATCTGATTAAAAATGCATAAATTTCATTATTTACAATAAACCAAGCAAAACAGTGAAAACCAGAAGAGTCTAACAATTATAATTAACGAAATATCGATTTTTTTAAATTAATTGACATTTTCAAGATATTTCGGAAATTTCAAAATCTGATTATAAATGCAGGAAATTTACATTATTTACAATAAACCAAGCAAAACAGTGAAAACCAGAAGAGTCTAACAATTATAATTAACGAAATATCGATTTTTTAAATTAATTAACTTTTTCGAGATATTTCGGAAATTTCAAAATCTGATTAAAAATGCATAAATTTCAATTATAAACAATAAACCAAGCAAACAGTGAAAACCAGAAGAGTCTAACAATTATAATTAACGAAATATCGATTTTTTTAAATTAATTAATTTTCGAGATATTTCGGAAATTTCAAAATCTGATTAAAAATGCATAAAATTTCATTATAAACAATAAACCAAGCAAAACAGTGAAAACCAGAAGAGTCTAACAATTATAATTAACGAAATATCGATTTTTTTAAATTAATTGACATTTTCGAGATATTTCGGAAATTTCAAAATCTGATTAAAAATGCATAAGATTTCAATTATAAACAATAAACCAAGCAAAACAGTGAAAACCAGAAGAGTCTAACAATTATAATTAACGAAATATCGATTTTTTTAAATTAATTGACATTTTCGAGATATTTCGGAAATTTCAAAATCTGATTAAAAATGCAAAATTTACATTATTTACAATAAACCAAGCAAATAGTGAAAACCAGAAGAGTCTAACAATTATAATTAACGAAATATCGATTTTTTTAAATTAATTAACTTTTTCAAGATATTTCGAAAATTACAAAATCTGATTAAAAATGCAAAATTTACATTATTTACAATAAACCAAGCAAAACAGTGAAAACCAGAAGAGTCTAACAATTATAATTAACGAAATATCGATTTTTTTAAATTAATTAACATTTTCGAGATATTTCGGAAATTTCAAAATCTGATTAAAAATGCATAAATTTCAATTATAAACAATAAACCAAGCAAAACAGTGAAAACCAGAAGAGTCTAACAATTATAATTAACGAAATATCGATTTTTTTAAATTAATTAACTTTTTCGAGATATTTCGGAAATTACAAAATCTGATTAAAATGCAAAAATTTACATTATTTACAATAAACCAAGCAAAATAGTGAAAACCAGAAGAGTCTAACAATTATAATTAACGAAATATCGATTTTTTTAAATTAATTACATTTTCGAGATATTTCGGAAATTTCAAAATCTGATTAAAATGCATAAAATTTCATTATAAACAATAAACCAAGCAAAGCAGTGAAAACCAGAAGAGTCTAACAATTATAATTAACGAAATATCGATTTTTTAAATTAATTGACATTTTCAGATATTTCGGAAATTTCAAAATCTGATTAAAAATGCATAAGATTTCAATTATAAACAATAAACCAAGCAAACAGTGAAAACCTGAAGAGTCTAACAATTATAATTAACGAAATATCGATTTTTTTAAATTAATTGACATTTTCAGATATTTCGGAAATTTCAAAATCTGATTAAAAATGCAAAAATTTAATTATAAACAATAAACCAAGCAAAGCAGTGAAAACCAGAAGAGTCTAACAATTATAATTAACGAAATATCGATTTTTTAAATTAATTGACATTTTCAGATATTTCGGAAATTTCAAAATCTGATTAAAAATGCATAAAATTCCAATTATAAACAATAAACCAAGCAAACAGTGAAAACCAGAAGAGTCTAACAATTATAATTAACGAAATATCGATTTTTTTAAATTAATTGACATTTTCGAGATATTTCGGAAATTTCAAAATCTGATTAAAAATGCATAAGATTTCAATTATAAACAATAAACCAAGCAAAACAGTGAAAACCAGAAGAGTCTAACAATTATAATTAACGAAATATCGATTTTTTTAAATTAATTGACATTTTCAGATATTTCGGAAATTTCAAAATCTGATTAAAAATGCATAAGATTCCAATTATAAACAATAAACCAAGCAAAGCAGTGAAAACCAGAAGAGTCTAACAATTATAATTAACGAAATATCGATTTTTTTAAATTAATTAACTTTTTCGAGATATTTCGAAAATTACATAATCTGATTATAAATGCAGGAAATTTACATTATTTACAATAAACCAAGCAAACAGTGAAAACCAGAAGAGTCTAACAATTATAATTAACGAAATATCGATTTTTTTAAATTAATTAACATTTTAAAGATATTTCGAAAATTTCAAAATCTGATTATAAATGCATAAATTTAATTATTTACAATAAACCAAGCAAAACAGTGAAAACCAGAAGAGTCTAACAATTATAATTAACGAAATATCGATTTTTTTAAATTAATTAACTTTTTCGAGATACTTCGAAATTACATAATCTGATTATAAATGCATGAAATTTACATTAATTACAATAAACCAAGCAAACAGTGAAAACCAGAAGAGTCTAACAATTATAATTAACGAAATATCGATTTTTTTAAATTAATTAACTTTTCGAGATATTTCGGAAATTTCAAAATCTGATTAAAAATGCATAAAATTTCAATTATAAACAATAAACCAAGCAAAACAGTGAAAACCAGAAGAGTCTAACAATTATAATTAACGAAATATCGATTTTTTTAAATTAATTGACATTTTCGAGATATTTCGGAAATTTCAAAATCTGATTAAAAATGCATAAGATTTCAATTATAAACAATAAACCAAGCAAAACAGTGAAAACCAGAAGAGTCTAACAATTATAATTAACGAAATATCGATTTTTTTAAATTAATTGACATTTTAAAGATATTTCGGAAATTTCAAAATCTGATTATAAATGCAGGAAATTTACATTATTTACAATAAACCAAGCAAAATAGTGAAAACCAGAAGAGTCTAACAATTATAATTAACGAATATCGATTTTTTTAAATTAATTGACATTTTAAAGATATTTCGGAAATTTCAAAATCTGATTAAAATGCATAAGATTCCAATTATAAACAATAAACCAAGCAAACAGTGAAAACCAGAAGAGTCTAACAATTATAATTAACGAAATATCGATTTTTTTAAATTAATTAACTTTTTCGAGATATTTCGAAAATTACATAATCTGATTATAAATGCAAAATTTACATTATTTACAATAAACCAAGCAAAACAGTGAAAACCAGAAAGTCTAACAATTATAATTAACGAAATATCGATTTTTTTAAATTAATTAACTTTTTCAAGATATTTCGGAAATTTCAAAATCTGATTAAAAATGCATAAGATTCCAATTATAAACAATAAACCAAGCAAAACAGTGAAAACCAGAAAAGTCTAACAATTATAATTAACGAAATATCGATTTTTTTAAATTAATTGACATTTTAAAGATATTTCGGAAATTTCAAAATCTGATTAAAATGCATAAGATTCCAATTATAAACAATAAACCAAGCAAAACAGTGAAAACCAGAAGAGTCTAACAATTATAATTAACGAAATATCGATTTTTTTAAATTAATTAACATTTTAAAGATATTTCGGAAATTACAAATCTGATTATAAATGCATAAATTACATTATTTACAATAAACCAAGCAAAATAGTGAAAACCAGAAGAGTCTAACAATTATAATTAACGAAATATCGATTTTTTTAAATTAATTAACTTTTAAAAATATTTCGAAAATTACAAAATCTGATTAAAATGCAGGAAATTTACATTATTTACAATAAACCAAGCAAAATAGTGAAAACCAGAAGAGTCTAACAATTATAATTAACGAAATATCGATTTTTTTAAATTAATTAACTTTTCAAGATATTTCGAAAATTACAAAATCTGATTAAAAATGCAGGAAATTTACATTATTTACAATAAACCAAGCAAAATAGTGAAAACCAGAAGAGTCTAACAATTATAATTAACGAAATATCGATTTTTTTAAATTAATTGACTTTTAAAGATATTTCAGAAATTACAAAATCTGATTAAAAATGCATAAGATTTACATTATAAACAATAAACCAAGCAAAACAGTGAAAACCAGAAGAGTCTAACAATTATAATTAACGAAATATCGATTTTTTTAAATTAATTGACATTTTAAAGATATTTCGAAAATTTCAAAATCTGATTAAAAATGCATAAGATTTCAATTATAAACAATAAACCAAGCAAAACAGTCAAAACCAGAAGAGTCTAACAATTATAATTAACGAAATATCGATTTTTTTAAATTAATTGACATTTTCAAGATATTTCGAAAATTACAAAATCTGATTAGAAATGCAGAAGATTTCAATTATAAACAATAAACCAAGCAAAACAGTGAAAACCAAAGAATCTAACAATTATAATTAACGAAATATCGATTTTTTTAAATTAATTAACTTTTTAGATATTTCAAAAATTACAAAATCTGATTAAAAATGCAGATTTTAATTATATACAATAAACCAAGCAAAATAGTTAAAACCAGAGAAGTCTAGCAATTATAATTAACGAAATATCGATTTTTTTAAATTAATTAATTTTTTTCAAGAAGCATTTTGTGTGAAAATCGAAAAAAGTGATTGAAATTGCAGGAGATTTAAATTATATGCAATAAACCAAGCTAAATAGTAAAAATCAGAGCAGTGTAGTAATATTTAACGAAATATCGATTTTTTTAATTAATAAATTTTTCAATATATTTCTGAAATTACAAAATCTGATCTTTATCAATAAATATTAAAATAAATAATTCGACTTACATTTCGAATTATCTTTTTCAGATTCCTCGGCAGTATCATTTTATTTGTCGAAAACCAACCTCTGTATCCAAGAACTGTGCTCGAAAAAGCGTTGAAACACTTTACACTCGCGTTACTTTTTTTCGTTTGCGGCGACGCTCGGGTTTTAATTATCAATCACATTTTCGACGCGTTTCGGTAAAACGCGAAAATCACGAGAGCTTATTCGCGCGCGAATAAAACCGAAGCTCTATTTTTCGTCGCCGCATTATTCAAGGCTACTCGGAGGGCCTCATCGACCGACAAAGCGATTTCGTCCACACACACACTCAGAAGTCGCCGATATTCCAGAAATGAACACTGCACTTCACTGATTTTATATTTCACTAAATTATGTTTCACTCAATAATTCGACAAAGAATTTGCGCACAAGCTTTGCCGATTATATATTAGAGAGACTCGAACGACGTCGAAGTACACCATTGACAAAATGGCGGCGCGACCGTTGCGGAAATTCACCCGAGATTTTTGCGAAACATACGAGCCTAGTTCGTCGCAGAGTGACACTTCAACACTTTGACACTTAAACACGTTGACACTTCAACACTTCAACAACGCGGAAGTACGAGCGGAAACACACTTAAAATACGAAAGCGCAGCCGGTAATCCAATCCGCTTTAGAACTCGCCCGGACTCCACGTCTCCAGCACGAAAATGCGAAGTCACGAAGAACGCAAGGAACGATGGGAAATTGAGCAAGATGGCCGGCCGTCGGGGCCAACTTCGCGTGATTCGGTCGCGTCGAATTGATACGATAATTCGAATAAAATAAATAAATGATGTCGAGAACGACGTGAAGACACTGATTATAACACTCACTCACACTCGCGAAGAGGACCGGCGCGGCGATGAGCGAGCGAACGCGAACGTTGATTGCGGATCCACGAGCAAAGCACACCGGAGGGGGGCCGGAACGGAACTGCTGCCGCTCTCGCTGCGCGCAGTATGCCGAGTCGGAGTGGTGGGGGAAAAAGCTCGGCGGCGCTCGGGAGAGTTCGGCCGAGTTCGGGCTCGCGTGATGCCCGAGAGCTTTTCCCCCACCACTCCGAGTCGGCGTACTGCGCGCAGCGAAAGCGGCAGCGGTTTCTTTGATGTTTTGGGTCCGTGTATCTTTCATTTACATTCGCGTTTGATCGCTTATCTTTAAAAAGAGTGTGAGTGTAATAATGAGTGACTTCACGTCGTTTTCTAATTATCGTACAAATTCGACACGTGTTTTCCAAGTGTCGAAGTGTCATACTGTTCATCCGTGAAGAAGGCTCGTAATTTTCGTAAAAATTTCGAGTCGACTCCCACAACAGTCGCGCCTCCATTTTATCAATGGTGTACTTTGATGTCGTTCGTGTCGCTCTAATAAATAATCGGTAATAAATAAGGCAAAGCTCGTGCGCAATTTTTTCCTCGTCGAATTATTGAGTGAAACATAAAATAGTGAAATATAAAAATAGTGAAGTGTAGCGTCCCTTTTTGGAATATCGGCGACTTCTGAGTGCGTCGTGGATGAAGTCGGTTCGTCGTTTGTTGAAGCCCTCCGATAAGTGATCTTGAAAAAACGGCGAAAACAGAGTGGTTTTATTCGCGTGCGAATAAGCTCTCGTGATTTTCGCGTTTTACCGAAACGCGTCGAAAATGTGATTGATAATTAAAATCCGAGCGTCGCCGCAAACGAAGAAAAGTAACGCGAGTGTAAAGTGTTTCTTCAAAGCTTCTTCGAGCACAGTTCCTGGACGCAGAGGTTGGTTTTCGACAGGAAAAATAATGCTGGCGAGGAATCCGAAAAAGATTAATTGAAATGTGAGTCGAATTATTTATTTTAATATTTATTGATAAAGCGAATTATATATGATAAAGCGAATATTATGTTTTTGTGCGTAAAACACGAATCTGGAAATTAAAATCCGACTGCCTTACATTGAAAAAAATTTGTTGAAATTTGTTTAAATCTTTAAAAATTTGTTTAAATCTTTCAACTAAATTACCATTTTGTTAATTGAACACATTAGTATTTAAGTCTAATATACGTTTTGTTAAATTTAATATGTTATATTTAATATATTGATAAATCTAGTGTTTGTCGTATTGTTTGTCAAACCTTTCAACAAAATATTATTTTGTTAATTGAACATATAAAAATATTTAAATTAAATATTATATATTAAATCTACCAAAACATAGATTTGACTTATTGTAAAATATTAAAATATGTTTAATTAACAAAATAGAATTTTAGTTGAAAGGTTTAGTCAAGTTAACAAATATTTTTAGTTATTGGAATATAAGAACGAATTTTTATTTAACATTTTTCAGCTTTAAAAAAACTTAGGCGTTTTAAAAAAATCCTACGACAAACACTAGATTTATCAGTATACTGATAAATAAAAATTCGTTCTTATATTCAAATAAGTGCACTAAAAATATTTGTTAACTTGACTAAACCTTTCAACTAATTACTATTAAATTAGGCGTTTTAAAAATTCTACGACAAATACTAGATTTATCAGTACACTGATAAATCTAGTGTTTGTCGTAGGATTTTTTTTAAACGCCTAATTTTTTTTAAAGCTGAGAAATGATAAATAAAAATTCGTTCTTATATTCAAATAACTAAAAATATTTGTTAACTTGACTAAACCTTTCAACTAAATTACTATTAAATTAGGCGTTTTAAAAAATTCTACGACAAACACTAGATTTATCAATATACTGATAAATCTAGTGTTTGTCGTAGGATTTTTTAAAAACGCCTAATTTTTTTTAAAGTTGAGAAATGATAAATAAAAATTCGTTCTTATATTCAAATAAGTGCACTGAAAATATTAGTTAACTTGACTAAACCTTTCAACTAAATTACTATTTGGTTAATTAAACATATTTTAATATTTAACAATAAGTCAAATATACGTTTTGGTAGATTTAATATATTATATTTAATTTAAATATTTTTATATGTTCAATTATATAACAAAATAATATTTTGTTGAAAGGTTTAGTCAAGTTAACAAATATTTTCAGTACACTTATAAGAACGAATTTTTATTTATCATTTTACAGCTATAAAAAAATTAGGAATTTTAAAAAAATCCTATGACAAACACTAGATTTATCAGTATATTAATATATTAAATATAACATATTAAATTTAACAAAACGTATATTGGATTTAATACTAATGTGTTCATTTAACAAAATGGTAATTTAGTTGAAAGATTTAGTCAACAAATTTTTTTCAATGTGTCGTTTTACAAATAATGCGTATTTAAAAAATTTTGCTACGGATTATGACTAGATTTCTCTATTTATTCTAAGATTTAATAATTTTTTTTTGTTTCAAATAAACCATATGGATTGCATATTAAGTAAAACGCAACAGCATCTGACACCAGCAGCAATATCTTCTACAATTTTAAATATTTTTCAATAAAAAATTTACCTTAAATATTACTAAATATATATATATAATAGCGACAATTATAATTACAGATTCGTATTTTACGCACAAAAAAATACAATATTATAAAGTTTCGGAGAGCTCTTCTGCAGTTTTATAAAAACAATAATAGATCATACTAAATTTGATACAAGTATAAAACTTTAAAATATTTTATTATTTGTATTTTGTAAAATATATAAAAAAACTTATATTGATTTTTTATTATTCGGTCGCGGTTGCAGATTCTTCGTTAATTATACTTTAAGAATTTTATCAATTTAGTTTTTTTTAATTAAATGATTTTTCCTACACAGAGAGAAATGTCTCTTAGAATTTATTTTGAAAATGGTAATCGTGAGACAATATGATAGTGAAATAATTTTGAGATTTTTCTGATTAATATTTACTACAATAAAAAATATTAATATCTATCACAATTCACAATAAAATATTTGATTAATTTTACTATGTACATTTGTACATATCAATATTTTTTTTATTGTCTCACGATTATCATGATTTTTATATATAAATTCTAAGATAAAATTTCTCTGTATATTAAAACAAATAACATATTGCAATAAAAAAATTCAATATTACAATATCGCGTTACGTTTCAAAATTAAAATTATATCAAGTTACATAAAAATATATAAAAGTCCCGATTTTTTTTATTACATAGTTGAAAAATTTGTATTGTGAAAAACTTAACAGATATTATATAGCCCAAATAGTCCACAGAAATTTTTTGTTTTAACATAATTTAACATAATATGGATATAATAAATGGAGGCACGAATACTGTGTTAATATTTTAACGCAGAATAAATGGAAACTTTACGTAATTTAAAATAAATTTTGTGTGAAATTAGTATAGTTTTTATGTAAAAATTAAAGATAAATCTTGTCATCAATATATATATATAAAACAGAACATATTTATTGTGTAAAATTAAAAAATTAAATATAGATGCATATTGTGTTATTTTTACATCTTTTTTAGTTGTTTTAATAATTTAACATTGATCAATGTTCAATTAACACAACAGCAATATGTAAAATTGACTGATGAAAGTATTAAATATTTAACACAAAAATTTACGGGGGCGGTTTTTAACAAGAAAACACAAATTTTTCTACTGTGTATGTACATAGTACAATTTATTATGTACATTTAATATTTTTTGAGGGTTCTTTTTAGGATTTTCAGAATAAATTCTAAGAGAAAATTCTCTGCGTGTATTAAAAAAATATCATACCATAAAAAACCTGTAATATTATAATCGCATTATGTTTCAAAATTAAAATTAGATCGAAGTTACATAAAAAAAATTCCGATTTTTTTTATTATGTCCTGATTGTTTAAGATTCTTACTAGGGTTGGGTAAGTTAATGGTTTTTTTAAACTAAGTTAAGTTAGTTGCTTATAAAATTAATTTGTTTAAGTTAAAAGTTTTATGAACAAAAATTAACTCAGTTAATGTTAAATTAAGATTAAATTAATTGAAGTTAAATCAAAAGTTAATTTTCAAAAATATTTATATTAAATTAGAATGTTGTTTGTTAAAATATATAACAAATCATAAAGAAATTTTGATTTTTATATAGAAATATATTTTTTGGTAATTACAATTGATGACAAATAAACATAAAAATTAATAATACTTTAATTTAAAAATAATACGGTTATAAAAAAAACAATAATGGTACCTATTCAGAGATAAAAAAATTTAACTTAGGAAAGGAAAAAAGTTTTTAAGTTTAAGGTAAAAAACAATTAGTTGAGGTTAAAAATAATTTTAAATTAACTAAGCTAAGTTAAAAATTATTAAATTTTTAACTTTTTTTAAACTTTTAACTAACTAGTTTTACCCAACCCTGATTATTTATTACTATCTTGAAATTGATTGATCTCCAAGAGTTGGTCACCCTAAGACCCTCGCCCTAAAACGCGTGTTGCACATCCGAGAGTCGTGCGCGCGTGTTCGGTGACGCAACAGCCCCGCTGTATGCGCGAATATTAGCAGAGATCGCTTATCGAGGAAAGTTGCGGTGGCGTGATAAAGTGCTGGCAGACTCCTGAGAGGACGACTCTCTCGTTAGATAGGTGTGTCGAGGTTCGATTTCCGATTGGAGAAGGCGCGACAGCAAGCGCTCGGTAGGGATCTCCTTTTCAAGGTAGGCTCGAAATGACAGTTATTTGAGTAATTGTACGCAATTTGCGCGTTTTGCGACTGATAGAACGCAGTCAATTTTCTAAATAAATTCTTCACTTCGTTTTGCATCTACAAAGCTGCCTTTTTATATGTTATATATATAGAGAGAGAGAATGCTTGTGCACGGAATTTTCTCGTAGAATTTACCCTGAAAATCCTTAAAAAAACTCTACAAAATTTAATATGTACGTATAGTAAATTTTACAAAATTAATCGAACGTATTTTATATCTCATTGTGGTAGATTTTTTATTTTG